TCAATTAACAAACGGAGACGTAACAATATTAAAACATATTTGTATAAAACAAAGAAAACTGTGTGTGTATCAATTTTGTTGGCAAATATTATAAAATGGATATATATCGGCATTTATTTAACTACTAAATCTCAATTACAATTTAACTCAGTTTTAGGCTATTTGAAATTGTAATACGTAACGTAGTAAACTTCTCTAATTATGAAAGCAAATTTTATTGTACCAAAGAACTGCACAGCACACTGCTATGAACATATGGATTTCATCGACTTGAAACTCAGTCATCGGTACTTCTATGCTCTAACAACTAGCTCTGCAAAAAAAACAACAAAAAACAAAACAAACTTACTTATGGCAAATTTATATGCCTGAATAATTTTATTGGAAAATTGTATTTGGTGACTGCTCTTCATTACTTCTCGCTAGAGGAAACTCCGCCATACTGGCAGCTGTTTGTGCTAGTTATTATTAATCGTAGTATTAGTACCTAATTAAAAACATTTAGAAAAGGTGAATATATTCTAAAAAAAATGATTTTTCTGGTAAGTTCTGCACGGAAAAACTGTTCGGATTGTGCGGATATAAAATGTAATGTTTTTATATATTAAAAGTGGTACCATTTATTGAAAAAGTTACAGTTTTTTTAAGAACTCCAGTTTCTCAGTACTACATTTAAAAATTACATCAATTAAGATATAATCAATCCCTCACGTACAGTCCTAGTGAAACTCGTGTTTTTGTTGTGAGAAGAGTACTTTTATTTAAAATTGTGTTCTATTATAATAAAATGGATGTTGTACATACCGTAGTTAATTTTCTGTCTGAATCTTGAATATTCAAAGTGTGAAATTTTTTATGGATTTTTGTTTGTGGTGCCATTCAATAGATGGTGCCAAAAATATTCAAAAGATGCTTTAAAAAAACTATACCTACCACATTACTCCACTTGCCCCACAAATTCTGGTGCCCCACAAATTCTGCAAGAGTATAGATTAATTTTACCAGTAACTACAGGCTCTGAAGAGGACTACCACTCCTTTGTACTCTTTCCTTCACCTACCCTGAAACTTATTTATCTACCTGTTAGATACTTTGTGAGAATCATTAAAATTACTTCACTTCTAACTGGTGATCAACTTTACTGGAGTGTTGTATTTCACTCTAAGAACTTATGAGTGAAAGCAAAGAAAATATGTAATAATATATCAATCACACAAATCTACCATATCCAGTTCTGACGAGGGCTTTTGGCCACTACCAGGGTTCACCAGACCGGCTGGGATATGACAGACATAGTAGAGGTATAATCACTATTTATATTATTAACTGCATGAGCAACAACTGTTATGGTGTGAACCAGAGTAAGTGATTGAAGTTTAATTATTATAATTTTTCTTTAAGTCATTTACATATCAGATTTATGGTAATTAATAAAACAACGTTATTTATTTATTTTTCACACCAATCCTTTATTAGTATTATTCTTTTTACTAGAATTAACTTTACTATCATTCAGAAAAACTGACGAACCATCATGGCCACAGTTACTGCGTCGTACGATATCCGTCACATAAATAGAAGGTGTGGATTCATCACATAGTTTGTTTCACAGAAAATATCTACTATTACATAAATGTCTTTGGGGTTTTAATTTTTACTTAATTTCATCTCAAGCATACTGGATTTTATCGAGAGTGGGTAATAGTCAACCGGCATCAAAAGTGCATAACAACAGTGACCACTTCTATGAATGGAAAACGTTTAGTTTTCCTGTAGCTATCATCTAGTTTTGACATCATCAATTCCATCCAAACTGAAAGTCTGGAATTCTATACATGTAATGACTAGAAATTATATAACTTTACTTAGGAACACCGTTAGCTTCAGTTATTAGATGATATACAGTAAAGCTATTCCCTCCGAGTTGTTCCCTTAGTGAGCATGTAACTTAGATTTGGTATTGTTTCAGTTCAGAAATTTCTACTGTTACTGAACACAAGTGTTTATTAACCTGAACAGAAATTGTTATCTCAGCAAAGCCTAAGATTATTTGGTAAATGGTGTTTTTAATGAGCTATTATCACTATTATAAACAATTTTATATTACACAGAATCGAAATCATAATGCAATCATTAAATATGCTCTCAGTATTGGATGTCAGTTTCTGTCTTACGAATCAGAAACTGACATTTTACCAGAAATAGCCGCGATGACACAACTGTCATATTTTCGGGTGAAAGTGCACTGTTTCTTTTTGGTGGGCTCAATATCATCATTTTCACATCATCTCCACTATCACATTAAAAAAAAAAACTTTTCAGTGAAGTTTGTTTTGACATTTTTCGCACAGGGTAGTTATAGCACATACTGATTGTGGAACTACCGTGTACTAAAAGTTTGTATCGAGAAAGAATAAACTTTCCTCGGAAAGAATTTCTACCGGGAATTAACAAACAAGCAGATAGCAACAACAATCAATTAAACTTTAATTTACTCATTTTCACTACATTTGGGTGGAATATTACAGTTCATTGTAAAAATTCGTAAAATCCTTATATATATATTGAATTTGCTCATATTTTTATATTTGTGATGGAATTCAATATGTATATTTGTCTTGTATAACTATTAAATCATGATTACAATATACACTTAATCAATTATTCATGGTTTCTTAACCAGTTCTGAGGACCGATGTACGTGTATATGGTTCTCCGTGAATCTCTATTACTAGTCGTCTATACCAATTTTCCTAATTCAAGTCTCTTATTTTCAATCCAGTTTCCAATGCCATGGAGACAAAAATGCTCTTCCAGTCTCACGCTTTTTCCTTTTCAATTTTACCCATCAGAATGCCTGCTAACCCTCTCTCAAATCTAATTATATTCATACCTTACCTCTTATCAATTTATTTTGTTTACTCGTTCTTAGTATGTATTCACGTGCTTCACAGAGGGCGTAAACACCAAATACATACTCATGATCAACCATTTGTTTTAATGGTAAATTTATGTAGTTGTTCGTAATACTTATACCGGTTGACCAAAGTCTTTCTATGAATTACTATTGAAGTAAGTAATAATGTAAAACCCTTTTTTTGATGGTTTTACATTGTGATATGTGTATTGATTATGGTAAAAATCAGATTAGATATTAGTTTTTGAAGTATGACTGATTTAGAAAAGTAATATAATATTAATAAAACTTGAAAGTGTTCTTTCCTTTGCCTAGACTTTAGACTCGGACATAGTACATAAATTGATAAAATGAAAAATATCTAAAGTCTTACGATAAATACTAACAGTAACAGTGGACAACACTGTAATACCTTGTTTTTACCAACAATATAACATTTCATTATGTATTTTGTTGATGTAAAATTAACTTGAACTGTGTTTTAATCACATTAAAAAAATATAATTTTATCAATATCATATAATGATGAAGTTTGTATAATATTAATAATAATATTCTGTGTAACTTTTATAATCTGCTTAGAATGTAATACTAATAGTTTAGACTTTGGTAGTGTTCTCATGTAAAAAATTCTTTATAATATAGATTAAATGATGTGGCAATTATATGTTTATTCACATATTTATTATAGTTTTAATTTTAGAAAAACTTTGAAATTGGAGATATTAATAAAGTTTTCATATTCTTCAGTATTTTAATTTTCATGCTTTTCTGATGTATTAGAAGTAGAACTTTGTATACCCTTAAAATTATTTTAAAAAAAGAAATTGCTTTAGACAAAACTTTTTTTTCCAGTAAATTCTAATTATGTAGGAGCTTAACAAAAGAAGTAACCAAGAGTAGAGTTAACCAAGATGTATCAAACTAAGCAGCTTTGTACAAATAACTGGTGGTTTTTAGAGTTAAATGTCTTGCATTTGCAGTTATTTTACATGTACTCATTTACAGTAATTAATATTTACACCACCTTTAAGAATATAAATTTGTGTTGAAGTTTTCTGCTTGGAATACTTTATATGAAGTCAATGTTTTGCTAAAAGTTTTTGTCTGAAATGAATCTTGATATGTGTGAGTAAATCTCATGTAACTGTCTTGATAAAGGTCATACTTGGTACATAAGTGTGTGAAAGAAATATAAGTATAGCTATGAAGTAGTCATACCATTTCTTAGTGCTTGTGTAAAACATTTTGTTTTAATACTTTAACAAGATTGAAAATTCCTAGAAAAGTAATACATAACTCTCTAACTGAACTGGATTCTGCTGTAACTGCTAATTTTCTTTGCTGGCAGGGAGTTGTGACAATATATTTTCATTTAGATTTTAGAAAGAGCTTCATAGTTGTTATTAGTTAATATAACAGAAAAATCCAATAGGTTCCACAAAAATGCTGCATAGAAAATGTTAAATTTTTTCACTTAAAAAAAAAAAGCATGTAGAAAACTAAAAATCTCATCAGTTTCTTATACATCTAATGAAATAGCCAAGTCACTGACTTTTGACTATTAAAAGAAAATGACACTAGTAACACCATTTCAGTTAATTAAAAAAAAACTTTAAGAGCCATCTGATCAAAAGCCTTAAAATCTCTGGCCAGCAAAGTTATCATTGTACAGTTGTAGGGCCATAATGTATGAGAAACATATGTTTAGTTAACTCTTCAA